AAATAACTTGGTGCTAATTGGGCATGCATTGTCAGCAATCCAAACCTGCTAAATCCTCTTGTAATTCCACTAGGCTAAACAAACTAATTAAATTGGGATATTCAGACTTAAGGATGTGAGTAGATTTGCTAAATTTGACTGCTAAGAAATAACTCTTTGGGAGCTTAGGAGCTAAAAGCCATGAGGTAAAAAAAAAACAAAACATAGAATTGCCTACAAGGTGGCAGAACTTATTGAGAAATCACGCAAAGTTCTCTGTGTCACCTGCCACCCCTTACCCCAGGTGACCCCCGCAGCTGCCAGCCCTCCAGTGATTATTCATATGTCTCTCAAGGATTAGTGAAGGCAAAGATGGCAAGATAGGCATCATCTTTAATTGGAGTACACTTATTGAATACAAAGAAGTCACGTGAAGGCTAAGATTTCAACATTTCATTTACAGGAACACCTAGCATATATTGCAGATTTGGTTCCAGACCTCCGTAATAAAAGTGAATACTGCAATAAAGCCAGTCACATGAATTTTTTAATTTCCCATTGCATATAATAGTTATGTTTACACTGTACTGTATGTAGTCTACTAAGTGTACTATAGGTGGCATTATATGTAAAAACCGATATAGATACCTTAATTTAAAAATGGTTTATTTGGTCAGGCACATTGGCCCATGCCTGTAATCCTAGTACTTTGGGAGGCTGAGATGGGAGGATTGCTTGAGGCCAGGGGTTCAAGACCAGCCTGAGCAAGAGTGAGACCCCACCTCTACAAAAAATAGAAGAATTATCTGGGCGTGGTGACATCCCTATTGTCTCAGCTACACGGGAAGCTGAAGCAAGAAGACCACTTGAGCCCAGAAGTTTGAGGTTGCAGTGAGCTGTGATAATGCCATGCACTCTAGCCCAGGCAAAAGACTTACACCCTGTTTCAGAAAAAAGAAAAAAAAAATTCTTTATTACTAAAAAAATGCTAATGATCATCTGAGCCTTCAGTGAGTCGCAATCTTTTTGTTGGTGGAGGGTCTTGCCTTGATGTTGGTGGCTGCTGACTGATGAGGGTGGTAGTTGTTGAAGGTTGAAGTGACTGTGACAATTTCTTAAAATACGACAACAATGAAGTTTGCTACATCCATTGACTCTTCCTTTCTTTCATGAACGATTTCTCTGTAGCATGTGATGCTATTTGATGGCATTTTACCCACAGTAGAACTTCTTTCAAAGTTGGAGACGATTCTCCCAAACCCTGCCACTACTTTAACAACTAAGTTTACGCAATATTTGAAATCCTTTGTTGTCATTTTAGCAATGCCCACAGCATGTTCATCAGGAGTAGATTCCATCTCAAGAAACCACTTTCTTTGTTCATCCATAAGAAGCAACTCTCATCCGTTAACCTTTTATCATGAGATTGCAGCAATACAATCACATCTTCAGGCCCCACTTCTATTCTAGTTGTCTTGCTATTTCCACCACATCTGCAGTTATTAACACTCCCTCTGTTGAAGTCTTGAACCCCTTGCAGTCATCCCTACGGGTTGGAATCAAGTTCTTCACTACTGTTAATGTTGACATTTTTACCGCCTCCCATGAATCATGACTGTTCTCAATGGCATCTAGAATGGTGAATCCTTACCAGCAGGTTATCAATTGGCTTTGTCCAGATCCACCAGAGGGATCACTATCTATGGCAGCTATAGCCTTACAAAATTTATTTCTTAAATAATAAGACTTGGAAGTTTAAATTACTCCTTGATCCATGGGCTGCAGAATGGATGTTGTGTTAGCAAGAATGAAAACAACATGAATCTCCTTGTACATCTCCATCAGAGATCTTGGGTGACTAGGTACATTGTTAATGAGCAGTGATATTTTGAAAGGAATCTTTTCTCTGAGCAGTAGGTCTCAAAATGGGCTTAAAATATTTAGTAAACAACGCTGTAAACGGATGTTCTGTTAAAGTCACCAACTGCATTAGCCCCTAGCACAGTGGGAGAACCTTTTCATGTTGGAAGGCCGCTATAATCGAATTTCAGCCGTAATAGAATAAGGCTGTAGTCAAGAAACTTCAACTAGATACACTTAACAATGTACATTATTTTATAAAAATCTGATTACTACATGCTTAGTAATTTCAAAAATGAAAACTATCTGTTAATTTGAAAGATAGCTAATGTTTTAATGATTCTGTCTGCTTTTTGTTGGAAAGCATTTGAATATTTGGTTGCAGCGTGGAGGTCGGCAGTTACAGTTGTTCCTCTAGATGGGTGTCAGTCATTCCTGACCTTAAGGGCATCTTGCTTTGGGTTAGGTAGGAGAATGTAGATTCGCAGCAATAAGTGGTTGAAAAGCAAGGAAGCATTTTTCGGACATGTTGCCAAAGGCATGAGTATTCTACTATATTTTTCCATATTTCACAACTGGATCTTTCTTAGCATCAAACAATGACTTTAAAATGTCATCAACTGAGAGCTCAATCAATTCCATCTATAATTCTTTGGGTGCCTTGGTGATATCACCTAGGTGAGGCTGAAATGCTAATTTGAGTGTGACGTCATGATTCTCAAAGTCAGTGAACCTTTCATTGTGTTCTCCAATGAATGGGTCTGTAACAGCTGTGTTTTCTTCAAATGACTCCCATGTATCATCCTGCTCATCAGTGACCTTTGCTAACTGGCTTCTTCTTTCATCAAAATTTATCAAAAATCTACTCCTTTCCATCTGACCCAGGGTCACCATTAACTGTCACCTGGATTACTTCCATCACCTCCTAACTGATCTTTTCCTACCCTGTCCCTTCCCTACCCCCATCTATTCTCATCACAATAGCTAAAATTACCCAGTCAAATTGTAAGTCTGATTCTAACACTCGTCTGCTCAAAATGCCCTAATGGCTCTCAATTTTCCTCCTCCTAACAATTCCTTTCAGCAGCCTACAAGACCTGCACGACCATCCCCCCTCGGCCACTTCACTGATCGCATCTCTTACTACTGTGCCCCAGTTGAACTTGCCTTCTCACTATCCTTTAACACGATACTCACTCAGGCCTTAGCGCTGCCTGTTACATTTCTCTGGAATACTCTTCCCCCAAATATCCGAATGACTCATTCTTTCATCTCCTCCAAGTCTTTACTCAAGTGTCACCTTCTCAGTGCCACCTACCGTCACCATCCTATTTGGAATAGTAAACCTCCCCACTCCCAGCATATTCTTCATGTTCCACCTTTTTCTATAGCACTTATCACATTCTAACAAACAATATCATTTACTTTATTACATTTGAGGTTGTCTGACATTTCCACAAAGGCTGACATTTTTGTCTCTTTTGCTCATTGACTTATTCCTAATGCCTACAACTTGTACCCAATAAATGTTTGTGGAATTAATTGATCAAATGAACAACCATTCCTTCTACAATCATTACACTCCTCCTCCTCTTCCTTCTCCTCCTCCACCTTAACATTCCTCTTCCTTGGCCCTTCTTTATGGCACCACATAAAATTTAAATATTTGGTATTGACATATGGTGCCTAATAAATAATTGTGGAGTAAATAAATTGAGTGATCGAATGAATGAATGAATGATGCTCCTACAACTGCTTTATTACCGCTGCCATTTGGAGCAGCCCTCTTCCTTGGCCTTTTCAAGGTCACTCTCTGCATTCACCTTGAAAACTGCCAGGGCAGGAAGTGAGATTCAGAGCCAGAAGTTACTGAGCCAACAGTGTCATGTTTCCTCAGGCTCCTACAACTACAACTATCTCAATTAAAAGCTTTTAATTCTGAAATGTAATTTTGGTTTTGGCATGGGGAGGAAGGGAAGGTGTAAGAAAGATAGTGGGTTTTTTCATTTGTCCATCCTCAAATATGCCCTGATCAATGAGACCTAGAATGATTCTTTCCAGATGTGAAATTCTAAAAGGATTCATACATACGGTTAATGGATCCCCTTAAATTCTGAGAAAGCCAGTGATGCACAGAGCTTGTGCCACAAAACAGGGCAATGCCCATAAATAGTAAGTTCAACCTCTTGTAGTGGATAGATAGGGGCTTTGGCTATATGAAATTTATGAGACAACTGAGGAAATTTGAATGCTGCCTGGATATTTGATGTTAAGTAATGTTTTATTCCTCTAGGACTCACATGGGTATTGTGGCTGCTAAAAAATGATATCCTGTTTCAGAGATAGGTACTGACGTGTTTATAATTGAAATGATATAGTATCTGAGATTTCCTTCAAAATAGTCACATCTGAGGTGGGGGAATGGGAGTGTACAGATGAAACCAGATCGGATATGTGCTTACAGCATTCAAGCTGGGTGATGAGTACATGGAAGTTCATTGTATTGTTCTCTCTACTTTCATGTTTGAAAATCTCCATACTAATGTGTTTAAACATCCCTTTATGGAATTTTCCATTAACTCCTCATTTGATCTCCTACACCTGCTACCACACATCCTCGATGAGGAAAAACACGGTCCGGTCCGTAGGTACACACACACTGACAGCACGAACAACCAGAGGCGGGATCCTGACATTTACCCAACATTACGGCTGTTTGCAGACACCCGGAAGTCAAATTCCTTGGGAAAATCCACTGAAAACAAAACAATGTAGAACTTACCAGAGTTCAACCTCCTTAACTTTTTCTCCTCCCCAAATCCTCTATTTCACCTACTCTTGTCCAGCCTCTGCCTATTTGGGGGAGCATTGCACTTATTGTGCTTTTTAAGCACTGGAGGGTACCTGCCCAATATTTTTAGTTAAGTACAGTCAATGTAAGACTGTCCTTTTCAATACTAATTAGATCTGCTCATTTACTTCTGAAGACCGCTCCAGGTGTGTGGCATGAGGGTGTTTATGTACGTGACTATTTGCTGTGGCAGAGAAAGACGCAATTATTTCATCCAATCGCTCTGCGGCCTACATCAGTGTTTAAACCAGTGTCCCAGCTCGGACAGTTCAGGTAGTTAATCATATTCTCTGTCTTCTCACTGCGCCAGGAACTGTTCTAAAAGCTAGAAATGTGACCGTGGCCAAAGGGAATTGCTGTCTTTTGGAAGCCGACATACTAACACAGGAAGACACGTGATGTGTAAGCAAACAGGTGAGGTTCTGATGAGACGCTAAAACAGGGTGCTGCCACGGAGACGCCGGCGTAAGGGTGCGGGCGTTTTAACGAGGGTGGGTAGGGGGGGTCTCAGAGGAGGCGACGCTGAATGAGGAGAAGGAAGACCTGGTGAAGGAATGTTCTGGTGGAATTACCAATGAGCGGAGGATCCCTGAGGTGGATTTAGTGCGCTTAAGGGAAGGGGCAGTGTTGGCTGGAGCACAGTGACCGAGGCAAGGAAGATGAGGGCAAAGGAATGCTCAAGGGCAGTGTCTTGGCCGTGGAAGGAGGCGGAGTTCTACTCACGGGAAGCTCACTGGGGAGCGCGAGGCGGCAAGGACGTCTGATTTTTTTTTTTTTTTTTTTTTTTTTTGAGACAGAGTCTCGCTTTGTTGCACAGGCTAGAGTGAGTGCCGTGGCGTCAGCCTAGCTCACAGCAACCTCAAACTCCTGGGCTCAAGCAATCCTTCTGCCTCAGCCTCCCGAGTAGCTGGGACTACAGGCATGCGCCACCACGCCCGGCTAATTTTATATATATATATTAGTTGGCCAATTAATTTCTTTCTATTTATAGTAGAGACAGGGTCTCACTCTTGCTCAGGCTGGTTTCGAACTCCTGAGCTCGAGCAATCCGCCCGCCTCGGCCTCCCAGAGTGCTAGGATTACAGGCTTGAGCCACCGCGCCCGGCCAGGACCCTAGCCACTCTGGGGAGGGCAGACTGCGGGAAGGCCAGCGGCCAGTCGGGCCTGTGAGAGACGACGGAGCATGGGCAGAGCTGGAGCAGGGGACTAGGGAGGAGTCAGCTTCGGGATGTGTTCCCAAGTAGAACCAGTGGGCTCCGTGACGGGGTGAATGTGGGATGGGAGATAACAAGAAGAATCAAAGATAACGCCTAGATTTTTCACTGGGACAGAGGGAAGTTGTGAGTGGAGTGAGCTGGGGTTGGCCAGAATCAGTTCTGTTCCAGCACAAGCATGAAGTAGCGAGTGGTTAGAGATAGAGGTCTGGGTGGGAGATGTACATTTGAAGGCCATCGGCATAAAGACTGTTTATTGTCTGTCTAACAAAAGACACTGAGTGGGAGAGACTTGGGAGATAAGAGAAAAATGAGTAAAAATGTTTCAATGGGGATATGCACAGCTATGCCAAATGCTGCTGAGAGACAGCAGGAGACATTAGACTGACTGCCGGCTTCGAAGAGGCTGCTCTCCTGTGGCCCTTCTGTTAAGTGGTGGGGACAAGCCAGACTGGAGTCAGATGATAAGAAGGCAGTGTGTATATAAAACTTCCAGAAAATTCTGCTGTGATGGGAAACAGATAAATAGGACTGTAGCTGGAAGAGAACGGACAGGACATGGGAAAGTTTTTTGTTGTAAGTTAGGTTGACATTAAGGAATATTTGTAAGCCAAAAGAAAGGATCCAGGAGAAGAGAATTTGATGATGCAGAAGGATGCAGGGGAAAAAGGGATATTTGCAGCATCAAAGTCCTCAAGAAGATGCATTTCAGAGCACACATGAGAGAGCTGACCTTGAACATGAATGGGACACTATCCACTGAAGCTGAGAGGAATATATAGAATCGTATGGACACATTTAGTTGCGCTGGTAGATCAGTGGTAGCTTTATACTTGTCTTACTGCCTGTGTTTTTCTCTATAAAACATAAGGTGAAGTCATTAGGGCAGAATTAGAGCAGGGAAAGGATTTTAATAATCTGATGTGCAAGAAGGTATCAAATAGCACCTCGACTTAACAGAGAAGGGTGGGAGGGTTGTTTGGCAGGGCTGAGTACCCATTTCAGATTTGCAGTCATGCAAAAGACACTCTAATCAGCAGAACTCGGTGGATTTTCTCTAACAACAGTAAGCTGCTAAGGTGTGGGTACCAGGAATCAGAGAGTTGTGTTCATAAACAGAGTTGAAGTTTGTCAGGTGGGGACACAGAGTCACTAAGGAATGGCTGTAGTGCTGGACCGCTGCATCCAAGCTGAGTAAGACGATGAGTGAGATGAGGGTGATCCGTATGGCAGAGTAGCAGAGTGAAATGACAAAGCATCAGTGGGATTAGAGAATTGCTTGAAATAGAACACTGGGGCAAATGAACTGGAAGGATGGAAGCCGTAGCTAAAAATTGAGGTCTGGGAGGAGGCAGAGTCACATAGCAGAAGGGCATGACTTATGAGTGGGTGCAAAGGGAGGGGAGGGAGATATCCTGGGGGCTGAAGAAATCAAGGCATTGGGATGAGTCATTTATGTGGACTTAAGTTTCCAAGAATGAGCGCAGAAGGCACGAGAAAAAGGTTGGGAGCCAGATGCTGGAATTATCCATGAAGGAGCAGGGCATGGTAGGGAGGTCAGGAGATTGCTAACAGTAAGTTGGAAAAGTCTAAAGACTTCAAAGAATCTGTTTTGTTTGTTTTTGTGTAATAGAAAAGAGACTTGAAATGGAGCAAGAGGGCACAGGAACAACCACCCCTCTTCCAGAACCTGCAGGAACAAGGGTGGGAAGAAAGCCTGCGAGAAAGGGCTGCAGGGCAGACATCCTCAGGGGGAGTGGAAGAGGACGCCAGGTTTCTGTTGAGGCAAGCAACACAGAGAAAGCAGGGAAGAGAGAAAAAGCAGTTAGGGAAATTGCTAAAAAATAACAGACTCCGTTATAGAGAACACAGAGGAAGGGTGTGGGAGGGCAGGAAAGAGTTGAGCATGGGGTTAGATTAGGTAACGGTTCTTAGTCTTGGCTGCACAACAGAAGTGCTTGGGGAATTTTTAAAAATACTAATGCCTGGGCCCAGATCAACTGAATCAGAATCTCTAGGGGCAGGGCCAGGGTACTAACAGCATAGTAACCAAACTTTCAGATAGAGTTGTCCCTCAGTGTCTGTGGGGGCTTGGTTCAAGGAGCCCCATGGATATCAAATTCCACAATGCTCAAGTCCCTTATATAACATGCCATGGAGCTTGCATATAACCTATATACACCCTCGTGTATACTTTAAATCATCTCTAATTACTTACATCCAACTACAATGTAAATGCTATGTAAAGAGTTGTCATACTATATTGCTTAGGGAGTAATGACAAGGGGAAAAAGTCTGTACTTGTTCGATACAGATGCAACCATCCATTCATTTCTTTGAATATTTTCCATCCACAGTTGGTTTTCTCCATGGTTGTGGAACCCACAGAGGGCCAATGTCTATTTACACACTGAGACAGGTAACAGACTAGAACGGGAAAAAATGGTATCAGTGTTTATCTCTGATGAGTTCAAAGTATTAAGGGTGAATGTTTTTGTATTTTTGAAATTTCGTACACTCATTTAATGTTGAGAAAAAAAGTTTTGGTTGGGGGATTGTTTATTTTAAAGCAAAGGGTTTATAGTACAGGCCCAATTCCCACACTTTACAAGTGAAGTTTGGTCTGTCTGACCCAATCTGTTTCTGGAGAAAGGAACATGACATGGGCTTCAAAGTATCAAGAAAAATTATCCAAAACTTGGAAATAAAGCAAAAGACAGTAGCATGTCCTTTCAAAGTCACACTGCCAAGGATATTTCTTCATCTAGGGCAGGAGTTCTCAAAGTGTAGTCCAAGGACCCCTGGGACTTCCCAAGATACTTGGGAAAGGTTCTCCCTTTCCAACTACATGTCTGTGCGAGGCCAGATTTTCTTCATGTACTTCAACCAAAACATATTGTAAATATGAATGCAGAAGCTGACATGAGAATTCAGCCGTCTTCTGATAAGCCTATTACATGTTCTGTTTGCAAGTGTAAAACAATTCCATCTTTTCTCAATATTTTAAATTTATCATAAAAAAATGTTGACATGTAATGAAAAGGCAGCCTACAGATTGAGGGAAAATATTGCAAACCATACACCTGATAAAGAGTCAATATCCAAAATATATAAGGAGCTCACACAACTGAATAGCAAAAAAAAAAAAAAGAAAAGAAAAAAACATTAAAAAAATGGGCAAAGGGGCCGGGCGCTGTGGCTCACGCCTGTAATCCTAGCTCTTGGGAGGCCGAGGCGGGCGGATTGCTCAAGGTCAGGAGTTCAAAACCAGCCTGAGCAAGAGCGAGACCCCGTCTCTACTATAAATAGAAAGAAATTAATTGGCCAACTGATATATATATAAAAAAATTAGCCGGGCATGGTGGCGCATGCCTGTAGTCCCAGCTACTCGGGAGGCTGAGGCAGGAGGATCGCTTGAGCCCAGGAGTTTGAGGTTGCTGTGAGCTAGGCTGACGCCACGGCACTCACTCTAGCCTGGAAAACAAAGCGAGACTCTGTCTCAAAAAAAAAAAAAAAAAATGGGCAAAGGGCCTGCATAGACATAGCTCCACGGACGGCATAAAAGCAGCCAATAGTTATATGAAAAGCTGCTCGACATCACCAATCATCAAGGAAATGCAAATCAAAGCCACAATGAGATTATTACCTCACACCAGTTAGGATGGCTTTTCATAAAAGAGAGGTAGCAAGTGTTGGCAAGGGTGTGGAGGAAAGGAAACTCTTGTACGCTGTTGGTGGGAATGTAGATTGGTGCTGCCACTGTGGAAAACAGTTCCTAAAGAAATTAAAATAGAACCATCAAGTAATCCAGGAATCCCCCTTCTGGGTATATACCCAAAGAAAAAGAAATCACTACCTCATAAAGATATATGCATCCCCATGTTCACTGCAGCACTAGTCACAATAGCCAAGACATGGAAACAACGTAAGTGCCTGTTGATGGATGGATGGAGAAATTGTATATACATACACATGCGCACACACTGAAATATCATTCCGCCTTTAAAAAGGAGATCCTGTCATCTGTGACAAGGATGAAGCTAGAGGACATTGTGTTAAGTGAAATAAGCCAGGCACAAAAAGAAAAATACTGCATGATTTCCCTGATATGTGGAATCTTTAAAAAAAAAAAAAAGAAACGGGACAAAAAACGAATACATAGAAACAGAGTAGAATGGTGGTTACTAGGGATGGGAAAAATGGGAAAGTGAGGGTCAAGGGTACAAAGTTGCAGTTACGTAGGAAGAGTAAGTCTGGAGATCTAATGCACAGCATGATGACTATAGTTAATATGATACTGTACACTGGAAATTTGCTAAAGCAGAGGAGATTTTAGGTACTTTTCCCACACACACGAAAAACCGGGGGGGGGGGGGTAACCATGTGAGATGAATACATTAATTTGTTTGAGTGTAATAATCCACTATGTACATATATCAAAACAGCATATTGTATACCGTAAATATATGTAATCTTTAAAAGTTTACAATGGGCCTTTATTTTAAATATTTTAACATTCTTGTTTTAATTTCTAATAGGACAAATATTGATAGACCACTTGGGGTCATCAAGTCTAAAGAGTATAAAGGCGCTGAGACCAGAAATCTGAGACTTGCTGATCTGGGTGTGTGACTTTGTCCTTTACTACTAAGGGTGCTTACTTCGGCAGCACATAGACTAAGATTGGAATAATACAGAGAAGATTAGGATGGTCCCTGTGCAAGGATGACATGCAAGTTTGTGAAGTGTCCTTTACTACTAAGGGCTTAGAGTCCTCAGCATACTGGCTCCAGAATGCCCCTCCTGGTGGACTACATAACTCCTGTTTCTCTAATTCTCCTCTGAACCAGCTGTTTGCCATCTCATTGGTTAGCTCATTAAGGGCTTGAATATATTTTGATATGTGTTCATTATATTAATATATTTGTATGGCAGCCATGTGTAATTCTGAAGATTATACCTTGGTAAGAAGTATAATCTCTGCTACTGATTTATACAATTTAGCCCCGAGGTTCTTCTCTCTGTACTCAAAAGCTAACGAAAGAACAGGGAATATTATGAAAAGTCTCATATCATTCTTAAATATTTCCCTAATGAAATGAAAGAAGATTGCAATGATTCAGCTGTACCTAAAACTAGTTTTTCTATTGCCCAGGGTAGAGTGCAGTTGCATGATCATAGCTCACTGCAACCTCAACGTAAGCAACCCTCCTGTCTCAACCTCCAGAGTAGCCAGGACTACAGGCACGTGTCACCACATCCAGCTAATTTTGCTATTTTTTGTAGAGACGGGATCTCACTATGATGTTCAGGCTGGTCTCCTGCCTCGGCCTCCCAAAGTGCTGGGGTTACAGGCATGGGCCACCATGCCTGGCCCTAGTTTGTTCTTTAATGAAAGTAAAGGAGAGAACCAGTCCAAAGCATATGAAGTAATGCAGCACAGTTCTGAAAGAATATCTAAGTTTAAGAATGAGTCTAATTTGGGAGAGACAATATTTGCTTTAATATGGAAGAAAAGCATACTTTCAATCTATTGTCAACACCTGTCCTTTCCAACATAGGCTCCACTTCCCTCCCTGGGAAACATACTACATAACTAGCTCTGTGCACACAGAAAGCATCACCAGTCAGAAAAGTATAAAAACAGCAGGAGAAACCCATAATCCTACTACCCATTAGGCAACGCTTAGTACTGGATCTTAAACTTCAGTGTGCAACAGAATTACCTGCGGGGTGCAGTAGAAACACAGCTTTAGATTCATCATACAATGGGTGGGCCCAAGAATGTGCACTTAACACTAGCACTCCAGGTTACTCTAATTAAAAATAAAAACCCAGCCTGAGCAGCTACACAGCAAGACCCTGTCTCGGCCAAAAATAGAAACATTAGCTGGGTGTTGTGGCGCATGCCTGTAGTCCCAGCTACTCCGGAGGCTGAGGCAGGAGGATCACTTGAACCCAGAGTTTTGTGGTTGCTGTGAGCTATGATTACAACACTGCACTCAAGCCCAAGTGACAGATTGTCTCAAAAAAATTTAATAAAAATAAAAAACCCATACTTTGAGAAACTATCCCAGATTATTGGCATTTCTGCTTGTTTTATTTTTCTAAGAACCATCTGTGGATCCATAGTATCTAAACGACAAGACCCTGTATGTAGTTTGTAAGGCCCTTCACAATCTGGCCCAGGTCTTTATAACTTCACCCCCACTGCTACCTGCATCTCTGCTCTTCAATAACTGTGTGTGGAGGCCACACTGGCCCATTGCTGCATTTCTCCTTCATGCTGACTTTCCGTCTTCTTCCTCTTATCTGCCAGTGTGGGACTATTTCTTTTTCACAGCAGTATGACAGAGCGGGCAGGGACTCTAAAGCCAGTAGACCTGGCTTCCAACAGATCACACTCCCTTTGGTAAGCATGGTGAACTCTCTGAGCCTCAGAGGACTTCTCTATAAAATCAAATACAAGAATACCCACCCAAGGCTATGACATGGGCACTGGCAGCATTTAATTTTGATGCTAAACATGTTTGTTTGTCATCTCCTCCCACCTCCCACTGTAAAATCTTCAATCTTCCCAGGAAAAACTGCCTCCTCCGAAGTAACATGTACATACATTTGTCTTCCAGAAACAAGAGGAATACAGTTAAGACTCCCATCTCCTCACATGACACGCCTGTAAGAGTTCTCTCAGTCCAACTGAGAGAACTTATGAGCAGATACTTAGGAAACTGCACTAGAGCAAATCAGTATACTAAGTTTCTAAAGATAATCCGAATTCATAGGGTAGCCTAACCTCGCCATCCTGCCTGTTATTTTACCAGAGGTTTTTGGGTTTTTTTAGTCAATGATCACATTCCTTAGTGTTTTGACACCAAGGGGGAAAAAGCCACCACCAATATTTAGGAGACCACAGTTGCCAAATAACCATGTAGCTCGCCTACAGTATGTGGTGTATGTGTACGTACGGAAGGCAGGTGGACGGAGTGA